CTTCACGTATGAGAGGGCTTCAAAAAGTTTGTGGAAAAATGGAATTAAAAGATAATGAGAGTTTTCCAGGAACTTCTTGAAGCCCCCTCACATATGAAAAACACTATAATTCAAATGCATTGATTCTCTTAGGGTCTTCTGTATTCATTGCTAAGTTTCGACATTCATATGAGATGATTGAAAATATCATGACTTGGGTCAGGTACATTTTAGTCCTCAAAGTGACATCTTTGCTCTTTAACACTTTAAAACCGTCTTTTGCAGCAGATTTGTCCAGTGTTACACGTCATATGATTTCTTGATTGCTGTTTCCATGAGGCTTGATGGTGGATCCAAGCAAAATGAAATCCTTGACCATTTCAACCTTTTCTCCCTTTATCATGTTATTTATTGGTCTAGAAGTGAGGATTTTTGTTTTCTTTACGTTGAGATGTAATCCACACATAATCTTCGATCTTCACTGGTGTTTCAAGTCTTCTTTGCGTCAGCAGCAAGGTTGTATAGTGTGTATATGGCAGGTTTTTAATGAGCCGTCGTCCCTCAATCCTGATACTACGTTCTTCTTCATGTAGTCCATCTTCTTGGATTATTTGGTCAGCATACAGATTGAATAAATATAGTGAAAGGATACAACCCTGGAGCACACTTTACTTGATTTAAAATCATACAGAACTTTTGTTCTCTAGGAACAACTGCCTCTTGGTTTATGTGTCAGTTCCTCATGAGCACAATTGAGTGTTTTGGAATTTCTGTTCTTTGTTATCAATAGTTTGTTATGATACACACTGTCGAATGTTTTTGCATAGTCAATCTTTCTAGTAGTCTCTGTTTTCAGCCAAGATTCATCTGATGTCAGCGCTGATATCTGCTTCTGAATCCAGCTTGAATTTCTGGCAGCACCTTGTCAATGCACTATTACAACCATTTTTGATTTAGCCTCAGCAAAATTGTACTTGCATGTGATGTTAATGATATTATTTAATGAGTTATGCTTTCCATTGGGTCACCTTTCTCTGGAATGGGCATATATATGAATCTCTTCCCATGAGTTGGCTAGGTAGCTATCTCCAAAATTACTTGGAAAAGGCAAGTGAACATTTCTAGCTTTGCATACATTCATTGAAACATTTCAATTGATACTTTGTTAATTCCTAGAGCCTTGTTTTTCTCAATGTCTTCTGGGTCAACGTCTTCCATCAATATCAACAATTCTTGATCATAGGCTGCCTCCTGAAATGGTTGAACATTGACCAATACCAATTCTTTTTGGTACAGTGATTCTGTATTCCTTTCATCTTTTGATGCTTCAATATTTTGCCCCTAGAATCTCTAAAGATTATGTATAAAGCCTTGAATTTTTTTTTCTTCATTTCTTTCAGCTAGAGAAATGCTGAGTGTGTTCTTACTTTTAGGTAGTGTAGACGTCAGGTCTTTGCACATTTCATTACAATATTTTGTGTCCTTGAGTACCCCCTTTGAAATCTGTGCAGCTCTTTCCCGTCATCATTTCTTCCATTTGCTTTAGCTACTCTAAGTTCAAGAGCCAGTTTTCAAAGTCTCTTCTGACATCCATTTTAGCCTTTTCTTTTCATTTTTGTCTTTTAAAATGACCTTTTGCTTTCTTCATATATGATGTTCTTGATGCCAGCCCACAACTCATCTGGTCTTCTGTTATTAGTGTTAAGTGTGTCAGATCTATTCTTGAGATGATCTGCTCAAGGCTGTACTTGGGCTCTCCTGGAATTTCCCTATTTTTTCTTCAGTTTCAATTTGCACTTGTATGTGAGCAAGTTCTGCAGTAGGCCTCTGGCTTTGAAGTGACTGATAATAACGAACTTGTTGATTTGATTCCTTTGTATTCCATCTGGTGAGCTCCTCATGTACAGTTACTGTTTATAATTTTGAAAAGAGATATTTTCAATCACGCAATCTCTGGTGTCATTTCTATGACACAGGCCATGTTTTCCAAATACTGTTTTCAATGTTTACTTTCTAATCACCAGTAATGATCAATGCATCATGATTGCAGGCTTGATCAATTTCAGACTTTAGAAGTTGGTGACATTTTTCAATTTCTTCAATTCAATTTTGATGGGTGCACAAATTTGAATAATGGTCCTATTGACTAGTCATCCTTTTAAGTATATAGATATTTTCTTATCACTGATAGCATTGTACTTCTGGATAGATCTTGAAATGTTCTTTTGACAATGAATTTGACCATTCCTCTTCAATTGGTCATTCCCAGCACAGTAGATGATATGACTGATATAAAATTCCAATGTCCATCCATTTCAGCTGACTAATGCCTAGGATTTCCATCTTCCATTTTATTTTTGACAACTTCCAGTGGTCCTAGATTTATACTTGGTACATCCAAGGTTCCAATTATTAATGGATATTTGCAGCTGTTTCTTCTTTTTTTGAGTCAAGCCACAGCAGTAAATGAAGGTCCTAAAAACGTTGCTCCTTCCATGTCATTAAGGTCGACTCTGGTTTGCAGAGGCAGCTCTCCCCCAGTTGCATTTTGAGTGCCTTCCAACCTGAGGGGCTCATCTTAGGCCACTATAGCAGACATTATGTTGCTGCTATTCATAAAGTTTTCACTGGCCAATTTTTTCAGAAGTAGATAGTCAGGTCCTTCTTCTTAGTCTGTCTTAGTCTGGAAGCTCAGCTGAAACCTGTACACCATGGGAAACTCTGCTAGCATTTGAAGCGCTGCTTGCATAGCTTCTAGCATTACAGCAATAGGCAAACCAACACAGTACAACAAACTGATGAGTTATAATATGTTTATATTATACGAGGGTGAAAAAAATTTACCTGCACTCTGACTGTAGAATTTATTTTAATCAACATTTAGAAAAGACAAACACATCATTTTTTGACATAATCTCCTTGCTTTTCAATACACTTTGTCTGTCATTAAGCTTTTGTATTCCCTTATAGATAAATGTTTTAGGCTGAATGAGTCACAAACGCACTGACGTCTTTACTTCTTCCTCAGAGGTGAATCTTCATCCTTGAAGGGCTGCTTTCAGGGAACCAAACAGACGAAAGTCCTGTGGAGCAAGATTAGTACTATAGGGAGTATGCTTTAACATCTCAAAACGAAGCATTTGTAGAGCATCAACAGTGTGGGCAGAGGTGTGTGGAAGTGCACTGTCATGCACCATCACAGCACCCTTGGACAGCAGTCCTCTGTGTTTAATCTGAACTTTAAGCTTCAGCTCTTCAATGAGCATCTCCCTTTAACGAACACTGTTAATTGTCAAACCTTTTTCCTGATAGTGTTCCAATACTGGCCCTTGAGAATCCCAGAAAAATGTAAGCATCAATTTTCCAGCTGAAGGTTGACTTTTGAACTTTTTCTTGGTTGGAGATTGAGGATGTTTCCATTTCACACTCTGCGGATTACTTGCAGGCTCATAGTAATGAATCCGTGTCTTGTCATCAGTAACGATTTTTTTTTTTTTTAAAGAAACTTTTACCTTCCTTTGAGTATCGGTCCAAATTTTGTTTGCAGATGTTCAAATGCTTCTGTTTATCGTCTTGTATGAGTTGTTTTGGTACCCATCTTGCACAAACTTTTAGAAACCCAAGTCTGTTGAGGATTATTTCATAGGCAAAGCCATGGCTGATTTGTAAATGATTTGCCCACTGTCACTCGTCTAATCAACAGAATCATTTCAGGTGTACACGCAACGGCATCATCAACCATGGACTGGGAAGGGCATTTTAATATAACCAGAGTGCAGATAATTATTGACTCACCCTTGTACTGTATTGTGTAATGCATATTATAATATAAACATATTCTTACTTATAAATTACATGCTTTATCCATCCCCTATTAGTCTGGATCAGTTGACTTCTGACTTTTACTTCTCTTAGGGCTGGCCTTTCATCAGAAGGCTAGCTGTTTGTTATTTTCCCCTTGGTTCCACCTTAGTGTTCTTTAGAACATTGGTTAACAGGGGTGTTGGCTGATTACTATTGGTTCCCTGATAGGACACACCCAGAGCTACCTTAATTACTCTGGACTTGTTCCCATGTACAGTAATGCGAAGTCTATGTGTGTTTGGTGGGGTCTTTTTCTCTCTTTCCCCTTCCTTCTTTTGCTTCTTCTTGTCACGTGAGGAACAGAGTCTCCTCTGTGGCCTCCTCTTCCTTTCCTGTCCTAATCATCCAGTGAGGGGGGGTGGGCAGCTTCACTGAGCCAATAACAGATCAGTGGGAGTCTGACTGTAGACCAATGAGGTACTCCTGGGTTCCAGATGGACCAATTAGCTTATAAGGGACGTGAAATACCTGGATAGCTGACATCTATCTGCCCCATTGTTCTTTGAGTAAGGACCCTCTTGTTTGGATGGCCAAAGATCTGAAGGTGCAAAAGATACCCTAGTCTTTTGGTCTTTGTTTTTGTTTTTGTTTTTTCCCCCTCTTTGGTTAGTTTTAATCCATCCCCAAACTTCTGCCCAAGGCCAATAAAACACAGCCATTCTCCTTTTGTAAAATAAAGAGGGGTTGGGTTTCCTTCAATTGTCTTCCCCTTTCTGTCTCCTCTACTATTTTTGTTTTACTTTGTAGTTAACTTTTACGTAGAGTAGCTTCATTTGAGCACCAGTGCGGTGGACCGAGACACTCTCTTCTTATTTGCCAATGCAACAGTCTTTTTTGTAGTTCTAACCTGGGGGTGTTTGTGGAGCAGGGCGGGGCGGGAGGGAAGGGTGGTGGTGGCGGGTGGAAGAAGAGTTTGGCTGTAGCCTTCCTTTTGCATTCCTCACACATTCTGCTCTCTTGCTCTCTGGCTTTCTCTCTCTCTCTCTCTCCCTCCCTCTCTCTCTCTCTCTCTCCCTTACACACACACACACTCACACACGCTCGGTGTGTCTTCTTTCAAGATGACAGGGCGCTGGAGGAAAGGCCGCTGGAATCAGCTGGTAGGTACAGTAGTAACCCGAACCCCACCCACCCGCTGCCTTTGCTCGCTTGCTCAGGTTTCTCCGGTCACTCCTGCCCGCGGAGAAAACATGTAAACGTGCCTCCAGAGGAGGGGCTGGGGGAGCCTGGAGCGGCGGGGGCGGAGGAAGGTGAGCTCAGGAAGGTGGCTGAGGGTCCCTCCTGCCGGGGCCCTGCCGGGTCCTCCCTCGGGGCGTTAGCCCCAGCCCGCTTTGCCCCCACCAACCCCCCTTTTCCAAGGGATTGCCTTTCTCTCTCTCTCTCTCTGCGGCGGCGGAAATGACAGTGTGGTGCTGCTGTGGTGTCATGGTGTGGCTTCTGGACAGAGGGGTGAAAACTCTTTAAGTTTGGCTCTGGAGATTCAACCGAGACAGCGTCGCGGCCACTGTGCTGTCCCCGGCGGGGCGCGCGGGCGGGCGGATCCCGGCTGCTGCGCGGCGGCGGCGGCCCAGGCGAAGGCGGCGAAGGCGGGCGGCGGCCTAGAGCAGCGGCGGCGGCGGCCCGGGAGCTCGCGCCGGAGCCCGAGCCAGCGCGCTGTGGAGTGAGGAGAGCGGCCGGCGCCCTCCGTCGTGCCGCTGAGGACATGACTGGCACCCGGGAACGTTCTGGGTAAAAAGCGCCTCTTCGCTGCGGTCCCGGAGCCCGAGTGCCACCACCCGCGCTGGGCTCGGCCCCGGCTCTGGCCGCCCCTCAGGTGCCGCCGTGGCCGGGTCGGTCGAGGGTTCTGGGCTCTGCTGGGTGCGGTGAGCCGGCCTGGAGGTTCCAGGCGGCAGCGGCTCCCTGCCTCCCCGATGTGCCGCTGGGGCCCCAGCTTTGGCTGCTGCCCTCCTGGGACGGGAGTTTGCACTCTGGGGGGCGGGCAGGGGTGGCCGCGGCCTCCTACGCAGCCTAGCTGGGCCAGCGCGGGTCCTGGAGCAGCTCCCCAGGGCGCCCAGGCGGGAGTCTGGGAAAGGGCACTGCCACCTTCCCACGCTCCCGCGGCCGGCAGCCTCCTGGCCCGGGCCGCACCCCTTGGATGGCAGACTGCCTGGCGGTGGCTACCTCAACAGCTGGGGATGCTGCGGACACTCTGCCTGGGGAGAAACTTAATCCCTTTCTGCCTAGGGAGTAAGCATCGAGTCTCCTCCATAAGGGTGGTTCATTCTTGCTGGCCTAGCTGTTCGAGCAGGTCTGCAAGGGAGAAGGAAAACTTCACATATCTCCACAGTATAGACTGCGACTGAACTGGGGCGAGCTGGGGGCTTTCTCACTCCTGTTTAGTCAGAACTATTAACCGTGGAGTAGATTTACAGAAACACTATTTGTGGTGGAAAGGTTTAGGTTACTTAGCACTCCGTGTGCCGTTCAACGTTATTTTCTCGAAGGCATTTCTTTCCAGAGCAGGAAATCAGGATCCTGGGGTCGATTCATTCATCACTTTCCGTCTTCCACATTCCATTACCTTCCTTCATGCCCATTCACTTTCCTGTGTTGTCAGGCACCAAGTTGTGCGCCCAGCTCTCTCCAACCCAGCGCCCCACCACCACCACACACATTCCCAGCCTTCCCTGTCAACCTGTGCACTCAAGTAACGGAGCTTCTGTGTGTCTCAACCACTTTGTCTTTTTGAGGATTCTGCCGTGGGGTGGTGGTGGATTCGGTACTGGTTGTGTTTGTCTCTGAGGTTAAAGTAAAAAGGTTGTTGTTGGTAGCCATTGAGAAGACTTCCCACTCAGGGTGATTTCATATGTGACAGAGTAGACCTATGCCACATAAGGGGACCTTTTGGAGGCAGATCGCCAGAACTGGAACAGACCTTGCTGGCTACTAGTAGAGGCTATAACTGCTTGTGTCACCCAGTTGTTATTGTGGTGGTGTGCTACAGTGTCGATTCTAAAGCACAGGTACCCCATGTAATAGAGTAGAACCTCCCTACAGAGGTTTCAAGGCTGTGGTCTTTCTTAGAACAGATCTCCGGGTCTTTCTTACATTGAGCATCTGGTGGTGTTGGTTCTGTGCGGTGGTGTCAGTTCCTACCCATAGCGACCCTGTACAGGTTTTCCGAGGCTGTGAATCTTTACCGGAGCAGAACGCCTCATCTTTCTCCCATGGAACAGCTGGTAGTTTCGAACTGCTGACCTTGAGGTTTGCAGCCCGATTTGTAACCACTACGCTACCAGAGCTCCATCTAGGTGGGTTCAAAATGCCAACATTAGGTTCCAAAAAAGGAAATATACTGGAAACTGTGAACATGAAGGAGTCCTGGTGTGGCACTGTGGGCTAATGCACTGGACAGCAAAGTCATTTGAACCACAAATTCGGTGATTCAAGCTTTTCAGCCGTTACTTAGAAACCCTATACAGGGTCGCTATGGGTCAGAAACGACTTGACAACACTTAACAGCAACAACAAATGGACAAAAAGAAGTGCTGTGTGTGGCTTCTCAACTTGAGCCGTAAGTGGCTCCCTTTAACCGTGTGTTGTTCCCTCTCAGAAATCGAGTCAGTTATCTGGCAATGTACAATAGTAGGAGGAATGCTGAACAGGGACCCCCGTCCCCATCTTTTCTTCTGTTTGGGGGAACAGTATTGCTCCATTCCAGCCGGTTAGCTCCCACAAGGTCAACAGTTCGAATCCACCAGCAGCTCCATGGGAGAACGATGAGGCTTTCTGCTCCCATCAAGATTTATAGCCTCAAAACCCTATACAGGGTCACTATGAGTCAGAACCGACTGGACGACACACACTACCACCACACCAGTGCCACTCCACCATCATTGCCCTGAGGTGGGGCAGTCATTGCTATGTATATATTTGGGGGGAGTTTCTCAAATATATATATATATGTTGTATTGTTTTAAGGAGCTCTGGTAGCATAGTGGTTATGAATCAGGCTGCTGACCTCAAGGTCAGCAGTTTGAAACTACCAGCCGTTCCACAGGAGAAAGGTAAGGCTTTCTGCTCCTGAAAGATTTGCAGCCTTGGAAACCCTATACAGGGTCGCTATGAGTGGGAACTGACTCCATGGCACACCACTACCACCACCATATGTTCTTTTAGTTAAGTGTCTTTGAGTCATTCAGACTCATAACAACCCTGTATAGCATTCCCGAGGAGCTGCTGGTGAGTTTGAACTGTTGACCTTGCAGGAGTGAACCAGCTGGAATGGAGCAACACCACACCAGGACTCCATTTATATTTATTGTTACTGAATGCTGTCAAGTCTGTTCTGACTAATAGAGACCTTGTGTAGAGTTTCTGAGAAGCAGCTGGTGGGTTTGAACTGTTGACTTTGTGGTTCTCAGTTCAGTGCTGATCCTACAGCACCATACCAAGAGTCCATTTATGTATGTGTTGTTGTTAAGTGTCATCAACTGGGCTCCAACTCATACTGACCCCGTATAGGATTTTCGAAGAGCACCTAGTGGTTTGAACTGCTGACCTTGTGTTTCACAGTCCAATGCTGATCCTATAGCGCAACACCAGGAGTCCATTTATGTATATGTTGTTGTTGTTGTTTTTATGTGCCGTGGAGTCGATTCTGACTCATAGCGACCCTGTACAGGATTTCCAAGGCTGTAAATCTTTACAGGAGCAGAAAGCCTCATCTTTCTCCCCCGGAACAGCTGGTAGTTTCGAACTGCTGACCTTGTGGTTCGCAGCCCAATTCGTAACCACTACGCTACCAGAGCTCCATATATATATATATATATATATATATAGTGCTACTCAATCCATCAATTGAGTTGATGTAGATATATAACGTGAATTAGATTCTCCTGATTGCTCCACACAACTTGATTGATTTATTTGAAAAATACAGGTCTTGGAGCCAAGAAGATCAGAGAGTTCTTCCCAAATCTGATGTTACATTGGCTTTTATGGCTTTAGGGCATTCCTATGACCTTTCTTTCATAGCTGTGCACTTACGTAAAAGGCATAATATTGTGTACGGTGTATTGTGAGCCTTGGCTAGGTCTTTTGAAGATGAAAGGGTTCTATAAACCTCCTCAGCATTGTACTTTTCAAAGAAATTACTTCATTTATGTTTTAATGGGATAGTGGTTAGGCTGCGTATAAGGAGGAACCCTAGTTTGCTGGAAACCCCAATTTAATTGTTACCCACCTTGGGAGACAAATCTATCATACTTAAGTCCTAAGTTTTTTTTTTTTTTTTTTTTTTTTTTTACTTTCTTTCTTTCCAAATGAGCATACAACTTAACACAAACATATAAAACTAGACATACAGAGTAAAGGTGATTGTTTTAAGTTGTGGTTGAAATCATTTCTAATGACAATCTGTGTCAGACTCATTTGAAAACATAGCCACCCCCATCTTTAGCCTATACGGGGGCAGTTAGTTTCTACTGAAAAGTGTCATATGTAATTTCAGGCATAGCTATATAAGCGTGATTAGAATCTAACAGTGGTAAGTCAGCAATGTTTATTAAGCACATACAATGTGCAGAGTCTTCTGCTGACTGGGCCTATGTCCCAAACGTGGTCCCATCATTCTGGTCTCCTGCTTATTCGAGAGACCTCACTCTGTTTGCAGTTCCAGATTAGGACAAGGAGAGGCTGTGCTGTGCGGAGTAGAGTTAGGGGCAGGAAGGGACAATTGTTTCCCTCCCATTTGATTTCAGGAGTACTCAGATTCTCCTCTAGCATGTTGCACCTTGAAAGAAGGCCATCTCCTGGAAGTACTGTTTGCAAATCAGTGACTTTGGTACTTCATGAATATATCATATAAACAGTGCAAATTGATGTAGGTGGAATTGGTTTAGTTAATCCCTCCCCTAAGTGCAGGGCAACTTGCTCCAACTTGCAGATCCTAAAGCTGTGCCAATGGAGTCTCATAATTGCATGCAAAAATTGCTCTAGGTAGTGAGCTTGTCCAGTCCCTCATCCCTCCTCCCATAAAATCTGCCGACACCATAACAACTGAGAAAGAAAATACAGGATTGTGTCTTTACCACTCAGCAAGCCTCATTGGCTTGGTGAAGAGGGGAGACTGGCCTTATTTACTTCATCCTTCTGCACTCAAGTTCTCTTTCCCAACAGGGACGCAGAGCCCTAAATAGGAGGCCAAACCAAGGCTGAGATAAAGAATGTGTCTCAAATGGCTATTCTCTGCAGGTCCCTATTGGCCTTGTGTGTCTTTGTCATTCAATCATTATGGATTTGGGTGACTTCTTAGCTGTTAGTCTGTGGGACTCAGTTGATATTGGAGGCCAGGGTACTTCGTTTTTGTTAGCATTAAGTTTTTTCTTTTGTGCAAGGGGAAAATATAGCACTGTGTTTACAAAATACCTCCTTACTTAAGCTGAATGTCTTGACTTAGTGCACTGCCTCATCAATATATGGGGTATAAGGTGTATACCAGTTGAGGGGAGTTCAGGTCTTTCTAATGAATGAAACTTTGATCCCAAGATGGCATTGCTCTCGTGTATTTCAGGTTTTTTAATAACATTGATTCAGCCTAAGTGGGTTGTTGTTGTTGTTATGTGCCATGGAGTCGCTTCCGACTCATAGCGACCCTGTACAGGGTTTCTGAGGCTGTAAATCTTTACGGGAGCAGAAAGCCTCATCTTTCTCCCACGGAACAGATGGCAGTTTTGAACTGCTGACAA